AAGATCCGTTTTTTGAACCTGGAAGATCCGTCGGCGACTTTACCGACCAGTCCCAGAAAAGTAGTCCCCGTAGTCCCCCTGGTGATCCTCGGTAGCCATGGCTGATGGCTACGATGGATTCAACCATGCCAAAGCCCACTTGGGTATGAAAACACCATACTAAACCATGCCAAAGCCCAATTGGATATGAAAAAAGGATACTAAACCATGCCAAAGCCCAATTTGTTGATATTTTTTTTGTATGTTTAGTAAGCTAAATACATGAAAACGAGACGTGTTGTCTTTCGGTTTGGCTATTTCCGAGGTGGGCTGCTGCTCAGTCCAAATTCTTCCCCGGAAGGTGAGCCATTCCGTTGTCAGGATGGAGATGGTCGATCGATGGTCGCTCGATGGTCGCAGCTAAGTCGGTACCCAATAGATGACCCAAATATGATCATCTAGTGAAATCTATGGTGAAATCTATGGTTAATAGATGTTAATAGTATATAATAATGGTTAAAAATTGATAATAGTTATGGTTAATAGTATATAATAATGGTTAATGATGGATAATAATGGATAATAATAATGGTGGATATTACATAATATGATTATCTGGTTGGTGGTGACTGGAACATGACTGGAACATTGGTTTAGTATGGGATAATGATGGTTAATGATGGTTAATGATGGTTAATGATGGTTAATGATGGTTAATAATGGTTAATAATCACTGGTTGGTGGCTTGGAACATTTGTTATTTTCCATAATATATGGGATAGTCCTTCCCATTGACTAATATTTTTCAGAGGGGTTGAAACCACCCACCAGAATATGTTTGAATACTCCAGTAGATCAATGGGAATTTCCATTAAGTCAATTGGAATATGGCCTTATATGGTACAGTATTTTAGGATCCTGAAATTCCCATTGATTGAACGACCATATTAGCATCCATATTCTATCTACTTCAGGATCATGAATTATATATTACATATATATATATACTGTATATAATCTGTATATATATATGATATGCTACATGTGTCTACATATATGTTGTCTGATGTTATCTGGGACTCATATCAAAAGCATTTATTGTTCCGATTAGTTGTTGAAAGTATCTTGTTGGTCCCTTCTTTTTGTGCCAATCAACATCAGTCAACCCACAAAGTTGTCGGAATTTTGGATTCAACCATCTCCTGTATTTCGTCCTGTCGATTCCCAAAACAACTCATGAAATTTGACCAGACTTTAGTCTAAATTCAAAAAAGCCAGGTCGTCAGGGTTGCTCCAACCCATTATAGGCAAACGATTTATTGGGGGAAACACTGAGATCTTACCTCTACCCTCTGGTAATTTAACATAACTATGGAAAATCACAATTTTCATGGGAAAATTCACTATAAATGGTGATTTTCCATAGTTATGTTAGTCATTACCAGAGGGTTTTTTTGTAGCCAATTTCAGCCCTTGGGCCATTGGGGTGTCACTCTTAGCATGTCATAGCAATGGAACATCCCAGGGGCCCATATTTTGTGTCATTGTTATGCCCGTTGATGGAGGATTGCCCAGCGAGTGTTATTCATATGGAGCCATGACGACCTCGTGAGAGCCGTCAGGGGAAGCATCCGATTCTCTGGAAGTGTCGGAGATGTGACACTGTAAAGATATGATCAAAGGATCCGTGGTGCTGGTATATATGCTAACATAAATGGGGTATATTGATGGGATCCATGTTACCATATATAGCAACACCATGGATCCTATGGGATATGATCAAACAACGTCTCGACAATTGTGTCGAATGTCAATGATTTAACCCAAATTGGTCTATTCAAATGCTCGGACAATCCTTACATCCGATGTTCATTGGCTCCCAAGTTCTCTTTATGGCCATGACTAACCGAGAAAAATTGGAGCTACCGATGCCATTCATATTTTTGGCCTATTTTTCCCTATGTTTCAGGGAATATCTCCACAATTCATATGACCAGAAATATGGTACGTTGCCATATATCTCCGCAAAATATGGCCAGTAAACATATATACGACCTGATCCACAAAATATGAACAGAAAATATGGTACTAACGTCATATTTTGTGGATTCTATATATATATATATATCCATAAATTCATATTTTGTCAGAAATATATCCAACAGAAATATCTCCATCTGTTGGATCCTGGAGATCTCCCAGTGATTCTGTTGCGCTTTCTGCCGCAGTCGCCCGCTGCGGCCCAACTGGATCCGCATTCGATCGAAGTCCACGGGGGAGGCGCGCCGCGATGCGTAACGCGTCGCTTAACGCGTTTTGGCGGTACCCAATAGATGACCCAAATATGATCTGGTGAAATCTATGGTTAATAGATGTTAATAGTATATAATAATGGTTAATAATGGATAATAGTTATGGTTAATAGTATATATAATAATGGTTAATAATGGATAATAGTTATGGTTAATAGTATATAATAATGGTTAATGATGGTTAATAATGGACAATAATAATAGTGGATATTACATAATATGATGTAACCTGGTTGGTGGTGACTGGAACATGACTGGAACATTGGTTTAGTATGGGATAATGATGGTTAATAATGGTTAATAATGGTTAATAATGGTTAATAATGGTTAATAATGGTTAATAATCATCTGGTTGGTGGTGACTGGAACCATGGAATTTTCTGACTTTCCCATCATATTGGGAAGAATCATCATCCCAACTGACTTTCACTCCATCATGGTTCGAAGGGGTTGGTTGAAACCACCAACCAGTTATGTTAGTATTGGGGGCTATCGGGGATGATCATAAACCTTGGTGACTTGGTGGATGTAGAGGACAAAAAAACATTTTTTTGGAACCATTTTTTTTTGGGGGGTGTTGAATATTTTCGGGTGAAGGGACCGGAAGGGATTCCTGAGTCAATCTAAACTGCCCACATGTTCTTGCTGACCTTTATATAAAGTTTTGCCCCATGGTTTCCGTGAGTCAATCTAAACTTGGCGAAGTGGACGTAAACCAAGAAGCAACAAGATATCGATATTACTGTAATTGTAGAAGTGGGTATAAAGTTGCCTTAAAAAGGGAGATGATCTGTCCATATTCCCCTTCGGAGATGGAGTTCTGAAGTGGAAGGAGATACCCATATAAGCTGATACCGCACCAGTTTGACCAGTTCGAACAAGATTCAAATTGACCTTCAAAGCAGCCGTAGATGTGGGTGATCGACCTTTGTGGGCCCATCGTGCATTCCCCAAGTTTAACATGCAACTTATTAACAAGGGCCATATCCAGTTAAAAGCGCACCTTCAGGACCCCAGTTGTTCAACTTAGAATTCTTAGATGGTTTACATAAACAAAGGGTCTACAGAGTCTACAACAGTCGCAGAGCTGATTGCCCACAAGGCCAGATTGCCCACAGGATGTTCGGCTGGTAGTGGCTGGCCTTTCGTAGCATGCCCTATGGATCCAAACACTTCCTGGGAAGATGCGTTTCCACTACCGAAATCAAACCTCAGATGTTGGACTAGGGATGATTATCGCCATCCACAATGCCAGCAGAAGCAAATGATCGATATAAGCTCTGGTTATGACTAACGTAGCCATGGTATAGATGGCCCATAGAAATAGATGGTTAAACCTATTAAAAATGGTCAATTTCCATGGCTATGTTAAATAACCAGATGGTAAACTCTACTCTTCATTGAAGTTTTATTCACCTAATTTACTCTTGGATTCTGTTTCTGTTTAGCGACTTTTCGGCATGCTCAAAGACATGCTCATCTCGTCACAACTTGCGGAGTGTTACCATCACCAACCGAAATGGGGATGCATTGAATCCGAAAAAAACGGAAGAATTGCAGGAGCATCTTGAGTCAAACACGAGCTGATTGGTGGTTTGGAACATTGTTTATTTTCCATGATATATGCGATAATCCTTCCCATTGTCTTTCATATTTTTCAAGATGGTTATTGCACCACCAACCAGCCAGGGACTTGCTTCATTTCAGTGCTTCACTGTTTTTTTCCTGGTACCCACCTTAGAATCGGCAGGTCTACTTCTACAACATGGTCTCAGGGGTTTCGACTGATGAAGAACCTCGCTTGGTCTGAAAAGGAGTTGCTGAATCTGGGGCATGATGGGCATGGTCAAGATTTGGTTGGCTCCAGGGACCACAGGAAATCGGCATGGAATGTTGCATCCGTTGAGCCATGCCCGAGGCTGGCTTGGTTTTACTTCCACATTTTCGCTGCCAAAAGAATCCACGTCTATTGGTTCAATCAATGCCTGATTGCTTAAATCATGTTAAATCGCGATATGATCTTGTCTGAACGTAGGGTATATACCCCAAAAAATTGATGGTTGATCATCAAGTTCCCTATTTTTCAATGATTGGGGGGGTATATCTCATTTTCAGACACAGCCATATTTAATCTCAACAACATCATGGTCATTCCTTGACTGCCTAGAGTTTTTGTTGCTTAAATGTGTTTACCCTTCAGTTAATTAACATAGACCCTGCCAGATAGGGGTTAGAATACTGTATTAATGAGTTTTCCAGTTTCCACTAAGAAAAATGTTATGTTCAGGGTCTGTGTTAATTTACCGGGTGGGTCAAAACCTCTTATTACTATCTTTCGAGAATCACCATCCATTCAGCAGCTATTTTAGGGAACCTACAGGATGGTGCCCAAGTTATAAGTTGGTTTATAAAGGTTTATAACCCCATCTAAATATCATTGTAAGTATCATACAAACAATTGCTTAGATGATATAAGCATATAAGCTATCATAATGCTTACATACATTACCCCATCTAGTATCATCATAATCGTAAGTACCCTCTGGTTATTTAACATAGCCAAGGAAAATGGCCCATAGAAATAGATGGTTTACCTGGGTTTACCTATTAAAAATGGTGATTTTCCATGGCTATGTTAGTCATAACCAGATGGTATCATTGTTATTGGCTAACTATGGGCCGCATCCGTGCCGTGAACTCTGCGGCTAGATCTCTGTGGATGCTGCAGAGGCTCCGGAGGACGAGGAGGTGCTCTTCTGGGTTCAACGGCAACACTTTGGAGTTCGAAGGCTTTGCATATGTTTTTCTATGGTTTTTCTATGGTTTTGTTTTATGGGTTGAATCATATGTTTTTTCTATGGTTGTCTATAGTTTAACTCTGGTTTTCTATGGCATTCTATGGCTTTTATCATGTTCTTCTCTCATTTTGGCAAACCAAAGAATGCCGTTGGTTTCTGTGGGAAACCTCTGTGAAACGACCTGGCCGCCTGGCCAGGATGTGCTCGCGGAAGTTTCCGTGAGCGAGGCGGAAAAGAAAGCGGAGGAGGCACCAAGCTGAGCCTGGTAATAGTGATTAATAGTGGTTGATAATGATAATTAATGGTGATTCATGGTGATTAATGGTGATTTACCCTCTGGTAATTTGACATAACTATGGAAAATCACATTTTTTTATGGGTAAATCCACTATGAATGGCCATTTTCAATAGCTATGTTTGTTTACCAGAAGGTAATAGTAGGCTTGAAACATCAAGAATTCAGTTTGAAATGCAAATGATCATACGGATCATTGGGATTCAAATAAACAGTAAACATATGGGTTTTTAGGGGGGTATGGTCACATTAATGTGGAATTTCAACATTGAAAATCCAGATGGATGATGGGACATCTCATTGAAAATTGATCTGGTTGGTGGTGACTGGAACCATGGAATTTTCACTGACTTTCCATTTCATATATGGGATTTTCATCATCCCATTGACGAACTCCATCATTTTTCAAGAGGCTTAAAACATGTTATTGCACCACCAACCAGATGATGTTTTCATGGTCACATCCTGATGGTCACATATTGTGTCTGGTTTTTTGGAGCAAAAAAACTCAGCGCCAGGAGGGCAATGACCCTGATGCCTATGCGGCAGCTGTGAAGGAGTCTGCAGATGCAGTCCAAGGTGCCGACGGAACCGGGAGCGATTCATCGTTGGGATCCAAGGGGACCTTCGTTGTTTGGCCGTTTCGGTCATGCATTGCCTGCTGCTTAAAAGCCAGCTTTTCCACCAGATCCAATGTACTGTAGCTTCGAAGTCATATAAGTATTTGGAGTATGATTCTAGTCATGTTCAGTGCATTCGGAGGTTGTTCGTTCATTAGAGCTGAATGTTTTTTCCAAACACAAAAAGCACATGGTCAAGGTTCAGGCCAAACTGTCACCTGCAACCTGGTAGGGATCAGTAGAACTTGTTGCTGCAAATTCTAGGCAGTCAAGGAATGACCATGATGTTGTTGAGATTAAATCTGGCTCTGTCTGAAAATGAGAGATACCATGATATACCCCCAATCATGGCCATTAAATCATAGGGAACTTGATGATCAAGCATCAATTTTTTTGGGTATACCCTATCTGCAGACAAGTCCTTATGAGTCTGGCCCATGACATGGCGGCCATGACATGGGACAGGCCCATTCCATGACTTGGTAGACTGTGGATATGCCAATGTCCAACAGAAAAAGATGATGGAACTGGTGACACCCAAATGGGTATGGGTCAATACTTATAGATACATTTTAGTGGGTTATTCACATCCATTTACCAGCTATTTTGGGGTTCACTAGGTACCAGGGTTTTGACCCATCCCCAAATGTCGAAATTTAATCATTTAAGGCTTAGACCATTGGAATCAAAACGTATCTAAACATGAACATGACGATTTCTGCGTCTCCATGGCTACCGCAAATCAATCCACACGTTATGAGCCTTGGTGGCCCACCATCATCATATGCCACGCTGCCAGATATCGAACTCACAGACCGCGACAAGAAGGCAGTACGGAAGCAGCCGTTTCACGGATACCTGAAAATTATCGAAAATTGATCTGGTTGGTGGTTTGGAACAGTAATTATAGTTTTCCATATGTTGGGAATGTCATCATCCCAACTGACAAATATATTTTTTAGAGGGGTAGGTATACCACCAACCAGTGATGAATTTATTGAGGTTTTATGGAGCATTATCTACTGGACAAACTGCAAGACATCTATTGGAAGAAGCATGGCTTTCCTGTGTCCCATTGAAGCAAACCATGGTCTGTCTGTCATACCCGGGTCCTTTATCGAGCCGCAGAGTTTCACTATTTGGGGGAATTCTTGTATAGACTATAGTGACCAACAAACCCAAGTCTGAAATCCGGGATACAATAGGTTGATCTTGGGAGAAATAAGCAACCATAATCAACCATACTATGTTTGGCCATACTATGTTTGATTATGTTTGGGTGCGTCCAAAAATTGACTGTGATCATTGTTCATTTTGATTGGGAACATGATGACCTGATTTTTGGGTACCTCCGAGTACCTCGTTTTGGAATCAGCTGGACGATCTTCAGTCACACTGAGTCACAACCTTTTTTCACTTGCCTGTTGCTGTTTTTGAATATATTATCATTGTTATTATTGGTATTATTATTTTTAGTATTATTAATATATTACTATTATTATTATTATTATATTTTTATTATTGTTATTATTATTATTATTATTCAGTTTTCCCTCCAATAACTTAGATTTTCATCCAAATGGAACAACACATGCAAGCACGTTGATTGAAACCAGCTATGCTGAGTAAGACTTGCGCCTGCGCTTCGAGTAGAAAACAAGTTGCCCATATCATCGTGCTTGCGGCAAGGCGCCGGCTAGGCTAGGCTGCGGGATTTTGCTAGGCAAATGTACGATTTTTATTCGATTTTTATCGATGTTTAAGGATTAGAATGGTGAATGCACCATAATTCATGGATGATTTGGGTTCGAGTATTACAATCATATTACAATTATATCCCCCATAGGATCCATGTATGGTATATATGCTAACATTGGGGGTATATTGATGGTAAATGTTACCATATATAGCATACATGGATCCTATGGGTCCCCCTTCATTTTCATAACATCGCGGCTTAAACACACCGTGAAAACCTCATGCACAGTGTCATGCTCGAGCCATGCTTGAAAAGGACAAAGAATCCATCGCCAAATTGAAAGAGCGCCGCGGCTGGATTTTGATTACCACAACGGCTGGATTTTGACGATAAATGGATGGGCCCTGGATGGGTTATGATAGGAACATCTACAGGAAACTCTAGGTTTTTTTCAACCAGCAATTGGAGGCTTGGCATTGGTGGATGATTTTAGACATTTGGAGGCCATGATTTTGTTTGGGAAAATGGTGACACAATTGGTATCCACCCTGGCGATGGGTCAGTTCATTTGGATCCCTGGCGATGCGGAACCTGGAAGACGAAGAATTTTTGGAGTCTCTAAATGGCAATGAGTGAAGTGCGTTCCCAATCAATGAGCGAGTTTTTTTCTGGACATGACTGACGTGACTATTATGCGTGGCTCGCTCACAGACTTTGACCCACTATCAAAGGAAAGCGTGCTTTGAATAAATGTTCTGGGGGCACCGGTAGTCTAACCTGGACATAGGAAATACCACTTTGATGTAAATCTCTATATATATATATGTATATATATATATATTAGAAACAGATGATAACCACGCAGAGGGAACCCCGTGCTGATTGTGGTGTGCTGAAGCTGCTGAAGGTACCAAGAGATGGTGAAAAATGACCCTGAAGCAGCTCTGGACAAGTACGGCCGGATGCCACAGCGCAGCTTCTTTTGGTTGAAACAGATTTAATGGTGGTTTATTGGTGGTTTATTGGTGGTTTATTGGTGGTTTAATGGTGGTTTAATGGGATAAAATACAAACAAAAATTGTGATTTAATGGGATTTACCCTCTGGTAAACTAACATAACTATGGAAACATCACCATTTTTAATGGGTAAAACAATTATAAATGGCCATGTTCAATATTTATGTTAGTTTACCAGAGGGTAGATTCTAATAGATCATAAATGAATCACGATCTAGATCATAGATGATCATTGCAGCCCAACAGTGGAAAGCACATCATACCCACGTGTTGATTGTATCATTATTCATTATGTTTTGTGGTGACATACATCTCACAATGCTCGTTACAAGCAAACTTGCCATGAACCTTCACTTGTCCGCTACTTTGATCACCTGTATTATCCAAACGTGAGTTGGCGGGTCATCAAACCTATTCAAAGCTACTCCGGCACCATTGGAACGCACACCAGGGAGTTCCAACTTTCATGATGTTTGCAAGCCGACAGGCATCCAACCACCATTGATTTGAGCTTGTTTTAGCAGTTGGTCCTCCAGTGAATACTTGGAAAAACGAGTTGAGTTTACTTGTCCCAAGGTTGATCTTAAGCCAGATGCCAGATGGATTTGTCCATGCAGAAATCCTCAACTGGGATGGATCACCAGAATCCTCCTCGTCATTCTCATTCATTCTCATTTTCCCCATTAAAAAATGTTACCCTCTGGTAAACTAACATAACTATGGAAAATCACCATTTTTTATGGGAAAACTCACTGTAAATGGCCATTTTCAATAGCTATGTTAAATTACCAGAGGGTAGATTTTAGGCTTGCCCATAGCATGCCACGTTTTAGGTGGAAATTTTGTGGAAGAATGGGTGGAAGAGCGGTCAGTGAAGGACCGCCATGGGGCTGACCCAATAGCTGGATGGTTATCGGATGTTATCGGATGGAACATCCGATTTGTCCATGGATGATATGGATGATGCAAGGGGGATGCTACCCGTGACTTTGGGAGCCAGGTAAACTGCAACAGGTGTGAGTCCTAGAGACCACAAAGTACCCTCTGGTAATTTAACATAGCTATTGAAAATGGCCCAGTCGAAATAGTGGATGTTTTCCCATTAATAGCATGGTGGATCTTTCCAGTTCGTTATGTAAACGTAGAAACCAGGCCGGGTATGAGCCAGACAATCAGACAATAGCAACAGTGACATCAGCATCCGTCAGCACCGTTTCTTTCAGGACCCAGTCTTCGCCAAATTTATCCGCTTCCATGCGTTGAACAAGAATCATGTCGGAGACTCGGAGTCACCGAGTCACCATCCGAAAATTCCATTGCTTGCACAAGGTTAAAAACCCCTATCACAATATAATTTGATGATAATACTAATACTATAAAATAATGATAGTAATGATTAATATAGTAATATACAATATATTATTATAATCATAGATTTTTCTAGTAAAGTAATGGCCATTGTGGGAACATGATGACAAACCATGGGGATTTCGGAGGGTTCGCTTCATCGGCGAACACCGCCCATTTCCAGCAAAACATCTTCGACTGGGAAGTGGGTATGACTGGGGGGGTTAGCCGTAGCTTTTTTTGAAGAGCTGGAGCTGGATCCCACTTGGGTGTGACATGATGAGTTATGACATGGTATAACTTTATACCATTTGGTTATGACTAACAGTTCGCCATGGAAAGATCCACCCATGCTATTAAGTTCGGTAAACCATCTATTTCGATTAGGGCCATGGCGATCCACCATGGCGAACTGTGAATGTCATAACCAGAGGGTAACCCAGTTATGGGGATGTCACCCCAGCGACATCCCCCAGTTTCTGCCACCGGTGGACTTCTCCAGGTGCTTCGCTATCACCTTGGTGGTGTCGCGAGATGGTGTGGAAACTTAGACCAAACCACCGCTGGTTGGATATAGCCTCCAGTAAATGAACATAGACCCTGGTAGATACAATGTGGTGCCCTATAGTTAGCTAAGTTGGTTTATAACTTCAATAACTATGGTTTATGGTAGATATATCTATAGTTAATGGGGTTTATAAACCAACTTGTAACTGGGGGGCACAACCTTGTAGGGGTTGGAAGATGAGTTTCCTCTAAACATTGGTGATTTTCAGGGTCAACAAGTTAATTTACCAGAGGGTATCTTCGGAGATTTATCATTACCCTATGCAACGTCACGAAGTTACAGCAAACATATGCGTAAATGATAACAACCTGACCTCACTGGAATGATGGTTCATATCATAGGATAGTTTTTTGGGAGTCATCCGAAAATAACCCTATTTCAGCTTGGTGAGTTATTGTAACAACCCAGACGAAATGATGAAACATGGGATAATCTAATGATATGGAATATTCT